CTGCTACAGAAAATGTCAGTGTCTGGTTTTCAAGGTTTTAAATCCTATTTTTATGAATCATAAAATAGAAAAATGAATCAAACGCAGACTCCTGTTAGTAAGATCTTGAGAAAGGTAGGACATTCTGGGCTCCACCTTATTAAAATTTAATCATATGAGCCCTCAGCGAGTGCCTCTATTATTAAATACTGATTTAAGTATGGTACCAGGGGTTCTGTCTTTGAAGAAAATGCTCGTGTGTAAGATAGACCAGCAAGTACGTCAGCTCTCCTGCTGTTAGTTACGCTTTCTGAATAAATTACGCTTGCTTTGCAAATGAAAATGTACATTCATAAATGCACTCTGGATTTCCATGGAGTGTTTTTTGAAATTCAGACTGCACTCAGAAGTTGCTTCCGCTCGATAGGTCAGGCAAAGCCAAATATAGAAAGTGAGCCCGAGTCTATTTGCGGTGGCATCGAGACCTCTCTGGAGCTGGCCCCAGCCGGCCTCTGCCGCCCCAGCCCCTCCCCGAGGCCCGCCCGGCCTCAGCTCCAGCCCAGGGCAGGCGGGGTCAGTTCTAGAAGGTGCCGGCCTCCCCAGCTCCTGCACCCCGTCCACACCTAGCAGGAATCCCGTCTGCTCCTCCCCGCTCAGGCGAACCGCGCGGGGTCCCTGCAGCACGCTGCCGTGCGGGTGTCACCCGCGTCGCAGGTACGCGCAGACCGCCCCAGGGAGAGACCCTGCCGTCCCCGCTCTGCGTCTGCTCTGGACGCCAGCCCAGCGCCTGGCCGTACGTCACGGACTCGTGAATATCTGTTCACCGGATGCGGTCTTCTCGTCTCCGTAGCCTGTCCCGTTCTTCCGTCATGCGAAGAGTCACAGGTCTCGTGCAGAATGTTCTAGAATAGACTTTTCGTTTCCCCGTCTAGGGAGACGGCTGACGTTAAGTCTTCCCACACAGCTGACGTCCTGTGTCACTCTCTGTAAGAAACCGTTTCGTGCCTCATTGGTTTACTGAAAACATAACGGCGTTGTGTGCGTCTGACTCTCAGCTTGAACGCCGTTAACGGGTAATGAAGGGGAAAGTTACATAGAAGGTTCCGGTTATTACAGCAAATGCATTTCAGAGATCACTTCTGCGGTGAATTATTTTATGAGATGAGAGGACCCAGTTTCATTGCGGGAAGATTCTACCCTTTTCTTTCTTTCGATAAAATGCTAAGCAATTTTTTACGGAAATTGTAAGGGTTTGGCAGATTTCCTGGCCCTTGGCCCTGGCAAATTCCGAGTTGCTGGAGCGGAAGCAGGACCTACGGACCCGAATTGTAGGAAGAAACATCCGGGCGATTCTGGGGTGCATCGTCATAGGACAGCACGTTGCAAAACACAAATATGGCGAGGAAAGCGGAAGTAGCATATGCTCAGAATATTTACTAAGCGTGTGTTACACAAGCTCGTCCATGGGATGGCCTGATTCACAGGAGACGCAGAGATGAACGGCTGAGACAGGGTCTCCTCCCCTAAACAGTAACACGGTATCCTTGA